TACCCTAATTATGACTGGAAAAATAAATTTTATTACCAAAAAGCCGATAATTGTTTAAAATATATATAATAAATGTAAATATCATAAAAAGAAGTAAGAAAGCGCTATGCTCGGATGTAACCGAACATTTTATACTCTCGCATAGGAAATCTCACAGATTGACCAATATTCAAGTATATAAGCTACGAAGTCAAGCGCATGTTAGAAATTTCGAATATTTGGCACGTAGGGGCTAAAGGAAGTATTGCCCACATTTTAGGTAAGAGTGTATCCTCTTAGAAAGATATTCTTTTTGCATTTCATGCGTATCTGAGTCCTTGAAAAATTATTTATCAGATTTGGACAATTCTTGGGCTTTAGATGAAATACCTTTAGGGTACTATTGCGCAACGTTTTATTCTGATAACTTCATTGATATTTGATTTGTATATGGTAAAGTGAAAGAATCAGATGGAATTTAAAAATTTGTTAAATAGGAAGTAGGCGTGGTTATCAAGGTTAAACCTTACACAAAAATTTTGTTGAAATTGGTCAAGTAGTTCTTGAGATATAAGATTTCAGATAAAGGTGGGCGATGGCACGCCCATTGTCCCATTTTTACACCTGTTCCCATAAAGCCCTCCCCTTACAACTTCGGATGTGAAATTTAATGCTTGTTTATTAAGTAAGACGTGTTTATTTAATGAGTTATAGCACTTGTGTTAGTTTTCAGCGCAACCGTTATATAGGGAGTGGGCGTGGTTATAAGCTGATTTTACAAATTTTCACAGTGTATGAAGGAATTCCAAACGGATTTCTTGTCAGCAAGAAAACTTCCCTCATGCGAATCGTTCTCTATTAATGATGATAACATCGAAAAAGTTAAAGAAACAGTGCTTGAAAATCGTTGCGTTGGTTTCGGAAAGATAGCGAGGATCTCAACATCTCCGCTGCGTTGACTCAACATATTTTCGATAATGTGTTGGGGATGAAGCTTGTTAATGCTAAACTTGCGCCAAATGATCTGAATCTTTTACGAAAACGGCGTCGAGTAGAGGTGGCGAAAAAGATTAATCATCAACGTAGCTGAGACCCTTACATTCATCAAGGATTTTTTTTTTATTTTATCAAATATTATAACGAAACTGTAAAGATAGTCTACCGAAACTTTTGATTATATAAAAGCGTATTCTACTGAAGCCTACTGCCCTCATATCACAAACAATGCAATAAAATATAAAATCAAAACTTTTGAGCTACCAAATCCCATTTTCCCAAAGACATATTCACAGCATATCAATTTTCAGATCTTAACGTTCATCACATTTCTATTTATGCTTTACACTTGAGTACAACTCTAAATACCAGCGCAAGCTCAGCCTACTATATGCATATGCATGTGTATGTGTGCAACATGCCACATGAGGCACAGTAAGTAACTTTTGTATAAAGATGCTTGCATTTTGTTTGATGGTATTGGTGGCAGTGCCACAGTTGCATTTTCATATTCAACGCTTATCTTACGAAATCCTTCAGCATTAAGTATAATGAAATATTTCTTGCAAAAATCCATATTCAACATGCTCATGTATCAAGCGAGTAAGCAGCAGCAGCGCCACACAGCTACTAACTGCATGAGGCAACAATGTCAATCACTGCCATATCCGGCCGCAAACTTGAAACTCTGCTGCTTAACACAACGCCAGCACACATACATACTAAGTGCGCGTCGTGCCGCTATTTGTTGCAAAAAGAGCTGATGTGGCAAGTAAGACCGTCGGCTGACGGCTACAAACAGTGCAGCGAGACGCCCGCATGCAGGCATATTTATGGGCTTTGTATGTATGTGTGTGTACGCTTGTACCTATGTATGTCTGTGCACCGCAATTCTTCCCAGACTTGAGCCGCCCGTGCGCTTTAGGAAGAAATGAAGAGATTTTTTGATAAGCCTCCCAGACTTAGCAGCAGCAGCAAGTTTTTGTTTCTTTTTTTTATTGTTGTTGCACTGCAATTTTGTTGCCACTGCTGCTGACAGCGGCAAATTTCAAGTTGCCACATAGCGTTGCATCACACCGCACCGCACAACGTGGCATAGTGGAATACAACAAAGCCAAGAGCTCGGCAGTGTGTTACTTGCGGTTTTGCCACTCCAACAACAGTAACAACAAACAAAGCAAGAAAGCTGCTTCAGTTCTTAATGCCTGTTGCCTCGAAAAGTTGCGCTACCTTTTTAGTTTGTGGTGCAAGTACAATATATCTTCTCCTTTTGGGTTTGTGTGTTAACACTGTTTGTTGTTGTTGTTGGTTTTGTTTTTGGCAAGTATTTTGATGTGAATTTTCGCATGCAACAGTTTTTTGCCGCCCGCGCAGTTTTTGACTTTGCACACAAGCCATACTGACAATTCTATACTTTTATGTAATGTATTTGTGTGTGTGTAAGTGTGGGTGTAGGTGTACTGCGGTGTTGTTGCCGGTCCATTTGTGCTCCTTTTTCGGTGCTTGTGCACATCCTTATTGCTTGCTTATTGCCTTTAAAGTCAATATTTAGCTCAGTCGGTAGGTCAGAATAGCTGTAGTGCTTTAATAAGAGTAGTAGGAAAGGTGCGAGAGAGAGAGAGAGAGAGGGAGAGATAGAAGAGTAGAGTTTTTGCTAAAAAAGCTATTTTACTATTTATGCTGTTTCGTCAATAGTCTCTGAAGTCCAAAATCAGAGGTGAGCAAAGAAAAGCAAGAAAACACGTTAACTTTAGCGGATAATTAGTCAGTTTGTATGGCAGCTATATTCATTGGTGGTTCGAACTAAACAATATTGTCGCAGTTTGTGGTGTTGCTTTGGAAAATAATATACTTGTATGCCGAATTTCGTGAAGATATCTTTTCAAATAAAAACATTTTCCTTACAAGAACTCGATTCTGATTGATCAGTTTGTTTGACAGCTACATTTTATAGTGGTCCGATATCAGTGGTTCAGACCAATGAGCAGGTCTAGACTATAAGGCGAATGCATAAAAACTGCTGGAGCTTCTGGCGATTCTCTATCGAAGTTTGTGACCGGGCGTTGTTCTGATGGAATACAAATCCTCTCTACTGGACAAAGCTGGCCGCTTCTGGTCTATTCATTCCTTTGGATGATCCAATTGTAGAAAATTGCCTTACAATACCCTCAAACACATAGCAAACCTTTTTGACCGTCATTCCTTGCTTGATAACCCTTTGCTCCAACTCACCGCGATTAGACCACAACAGAAAAGTTTCCGCTTGACGTTCCATCACCAGCAACAATCCTGTTAAGAAATTGAGAAAGAAAATCGAAAACCTTTATTTCTTTTCATTTTGAAATCGGATTACTAGCTCGCTCACTTCAAATATATATATTGTACTAAATTTTGAATTTATATTTCAAATATCAGCAAAGATAATGGAATCAAAGTGATTACTAAAATAGTGCTCTAATCGGTCCATGCTTTCCTCTAGCTCCATTAGAATTTTTAAAGTGCCTAAGTGGAGTTGATTTCTTGGCAATAGTGGCATTTGGCAAAAAATGTCAAAAATGTTTGCGAGCGATTAAGAGCTTTTTCTAGCCCCCGTGTACCCATTATATAATTGCTTGGGCGCTGGTTGACTTTATGATATAAAGATGGGTCACTGAAAGATATAGGTATCTCCATAAAGTTACGTAAAATAGTTCATTTAACAGAATGAGTTTCGAACCTAGAATTAATTGAAATTTTTTCGAAACTTCCCTCGAACAAAATATGGTATATTTACAAATTTTGTTGTCTTTGAGTTCACGTGATCTTTATTTTCATTGGCATACTTTCTATGCAAGTAGTGCAGTGCAGTAAGCTGTTGAAACCTTCCAAACTTATTTATATGCAGATGCAACAAGCAAGTCGCTACGGAAATGCTCCAACTTCGAAATTCGATATCGAATTTCTCCAAGCGCCAAGTGTTCCCACAACATACAGCGCCGCGCAGTGTAAGTCAATGGAATCGAAACATTCAGCATCTGTTATATCGTGCTCCCCGTTAAGCTGTTGCTGCTCCCCACGCCCGTCATCCAGCAACACGAACGCAGCTGTGCCGCACGACACACTGAATGCAACAAATCGAAAAATAACCCATTGTTGATCGCTGAAGCATGTGGCATGTGCCACGAACGAACACACCAACGCACACATGTGTAGCGACCCACACACAGACATACACACTTACATATAATAAAGCAGTGGTTGAAACAGTTGATAGCTGTAGACGTAGACGAAGCAAATGAGAGTGGAACACCACTTCCTGATTGTTGCGCGGCGCGCTGTTGCTACTGCCGCGGCCGAAACTCCTGTTCCAATTTCCACACACAAGCGGCAGCTGCTCTTTCCGCTAGTACTTGGCTGCTTGGCTGTTGCTCTAGCTGTTGCTGTTGCTGTTATAGCCATGTTCAACAATCATTGGCACAATATGTGGCACACACGCACACTTACTTTTGTGTTAGCCGCCTGTGTAAGCGCCAGTCCAATTGCTATTGTGTTCCGCTTGCGTTATGCTCGCAGAGCGCGCTCTTCGTCCTTTCGTGCCAATTGGTTGTGTTCGTGTAACGAAATGTTTTAGTTCATGCGTTTCTACAAACGAGCGCCACTGTTGCTTCGTGCGCCTTTCTTGGCTTATAGCGCGTGAAGCAACAGCTCAGCGGCACGAATGCTTGCCTGAGCGCCTTGACTGCGCCTGAGAGCGCGCACTCCGTTTTCTTTCGTTACAATTTCGTTTCATGACACATATTGTTTTTGTGCTGTGGGCGCTCAATCACCCTTCGTCGTCGCCAGCATACAACTTGTGCGCGCTAGGGGTTGCTTACATTGGCACCCCAACGACTGGGAATAGTTTCGCTTGCCATCACGTTTGCCTGACGTTAGCGGTGTGTTTCTTGCCACTGTGTACCATTTGAGTTCCGCTCCGACGATTGTCTACGCGATTGTGGCACGTATAAAAGCCGCTGTACATTGACCACGGGTTCTCATAAGCCTCCAAGGGTTGCTTACGTTCGGTTCGCATTTCTCTTCTCTCTTATATAATATTCTCTTGTACGGATCCTTAAGTTTTTTTCCACCTCAATCAATTCTATGCATTGTTTTTTTTTTGGTACAAAAATTCTCAAACTTAACTCTAACTTTTAACTAAATTTTTTTTAACAACAACAAAAAATTTATACAACAATATTAACAAAAAACAACGGCGCGCAGTTCAACAAGAGCATAAAAAAGTGTTAAAAAAATATTGAAAATAATAAAAGAAATCGCATGTTTGTGTGTGTGTGTGTTCGTTGAAAAAACGTGTGCATAACGGTACAAGCATATATTGAATTGTACGCGACATTTGTTTAAAACTATTGCATTTTGGCTACAAAAATCTAACTGCTAAGCAAAATCTATAAATTACTTACTTGCTTTCGTATACTTTCCGGCGTACGCCTCGACTAGAACGCCAACAAACGCCACGCCACAAAATAGCCGCAAATTGGGTGGCTCTAAAGTGCAAAGTAGAACGTAGCGCGGCTGACAACTGAATCACGGATTAAAAATCAATACACAGTCGAAGAAAAGTTTTACGAAAAACGCATAAAAAACACACACGAAAACAACAACAAAAACACAAGTGCAACACAACGCAAGCGAAAACTATAAACAAAAGCAATCAATGGCAACAGCACGCATTTGTGCTTAAAAGGCAACAACAACGGCGACAAGCAGTTGAAACTTGTAAGCGCCATGGTAGGCGTGCTATATTTACCTAGCATAGAAGAGCACACATACATATGTATGGCATAGAAAATAAACTTTAAAAAGCAAACTTACAAAGCAATTCGGCATATTTATGCATTAACAACAACAACGAGCAAAAATAAGCAATAAACACAACAACCGTTATTGTTGAGAAACAGTAAAAAACTAAAAGCGTAAAGATTACAAGAAAAAATTGAAGAAAAAATTTAATCAAAAAAAAGTTTAAATAAAAAATTTTAATGAATTAAAAAAAAAATTAAAATATAAATTAAAAAAAAATAACAACAAACATCGCATGACAGCAACAGCGTGGCAGCTCGAAAAACTTGGCATGCCAGCGAAAATGTGCAGCAAACAGCACTTAAAATCCAAATAAAAGTGGCATACAACCAGCTGCAGCAACATCTAATGTTTAACCCTTAGTTGACCAAAACTCTAAGATTTCGTCGGGCAAACTATATATATACATATACTAAAACTCGTATAAATGTAAATATATTTAACAAGAAAAAAGAAAAAAACTTCGAACTATTTAAGAATTCCACACAAACAATGTCTAGTGTTTATTTACAATAGCCGCAACAACAACAACAATAGCACCAAAAGCTCAACTTTACTAAACACACTTAGCTCGCACGAAATATCTAACAACTTTACTGCAAACTACTGGATTTCACGCAAAAATACGAAAAACAATAATAATAAAATTTAAAAAAATTTCACGCCTCAAACCCTCAAACCCCGCTCCGCCAACTCAGTTCGTCATCATTTGCCACTAGCAATTTTTCTTTAGTACCAAAATCACACCCGCCACGCTACCATGCCACGCTGCTTAATGGCGAAGAAATGGAAAGCTTATCCATGGCTCGAACGCATCGAGGATAATACGATGGCTGTGGCGGCGAATGACAGCGACAAAACACAAGCGACCGTTATAAGTCACGAATTGCTGCACAAACGTAGCGTTGCGGCAGCATCACCCAGTCCACAGCAGCAGCAGCAGCAACAACAACAACAAACGCAGTACAATAGAAGATCATCGAAGTCGCGGCGCTCCACCATCGATGATGATGAGGAGATCGATGTAGTGGGTGATAATGCGCACGCTTTGGCCACAGCCAGCACTGAACTGGTGGATAATAGTAAAGTTGTAACAACTGCTGCAAGCAATACAGCGACTGGCGCTAACGGTGCCACACCTACGGCTACGTGCTGGGGTCCTTCGTCGCCAACAGCGGGCGCTACAGCGCCGAGTCCACCACCACATTCACCAGAGGCGGCAACGCGCGGTGCAACGGCGTTGTATAACGGTAAGTTTTGGGGGAAAACAAGAAATTTTTATGAAAGCGAATACTGAAATATTATATTAGTGTGGGAACAGTATTAGAGCGGAAGTAAAAGGCATTGTTGAAGTAATTATTTCTTCCAGTTTTCTTAAGCTTTAAAAAAGAAAGTTTTGATGAAAGCAGGTCTCGAAAATATCATTACAATTTATAGAGGAAATATTTCTTACTGTTTCCTTAATTTGAATTTTGGCGAGTTTTTGAAAAATCGAAAGAAAAAATCCTTTCTAAATATGCGTCTGATCATATCCTTATCCCAGTCAAATATTATTATTAAACCTAAGCTACCGAAACCCCGCTAAAAAACAAATAACATTTTAGCGACCTTAATTTCTAACCGAACTGAAATTTCCAAAATGACCAAAACTAAGAGTTCAGGCATTCTCGTTTACTGGATCTAACTACATTTTCTGTTTAAATGTTCAGTAAATAAAACCTCGACAAAAACTCTTAGAAGATCTTTAATAATCATAATCAAACCTCGAAAAAAAGCTCTTGCAAGATCCTTTTTAATTATCAATGATATTTTTCTTTGAATTTATAACACGTTTTAGTGTTATTTAACAACCAACATTTTTTTACTAAAACTCTACTTATTTTACTTCGTTTTTAAAGCTCTGCAATCTTTGTGCTAACTTCCGGTTAAGTGTTAACCAGCAGTCCAATCGGTCAACTAACTTGTTGTTAGGTAATAACCAGCAATTTAAACAGTAATTTAACTTCCGATTAAGTATTAACTGACAGTTTAATCAGGAAAATAACTTCTGGATAAGTTTTAACGAGATATTTAATCAGTGCTTAGCATGCATGTAATAATAGAATTTCGTGCAATTTTAAACTAAACTTAGTTAAACTTTTTGCCTTGGTGGAATAAATAAAATCTGTCGGTTAAAGTGAACTTAATCTAAGAATAATTAATTATTTAACAAATTCTAATTATGATTTATTATTTTATTTAATGACGTATTAACTACGTTAGTCAAGAACTTTTACTCAGAAATTTCTTCAATGAAGAATTTTACACGAAGTTAGTTACATTTTCTTGAAGTATGGAAAAAATATTTTTAATTATTTAATTTTATATCATTATATCTAGTTATGCCTTAAACAATATTTCAACCAGCAGTTTGTAAATTTCAAAAATATTTTTTCTGCTAACTGTCGGTTAAAATTTAACAGCCAGTTACTTAAAATGCAGTGATCTTAAAAATTTTGAACGTTATAGTTTTAAATCAAAACCTGTCAGTTAAAGTGTTCGATAAAGTTTTTTGGGTAGTAGAGTAGACTTGGACTAATTTTAAAATTTTTAAAATGTAGCTTGAAATAATTTCAGAAAGTGGGTGTAAAAAATAAATATAATCACTATATAACTGATCGTATAATGGAAAATTGGAAAATCTAGGAAATTTATTTTTAAAATTTTATACTTGTCAGTTACTACTTTTATAACTCTAATTATATATTTTTATCTCGAATAACTGTTCTATTTCTTATAGTTTTTATAGGAAAATACAGTCAAAAAAATAAAAATAACGCTGCATATCTTATAAGCGCTGTTTACCTCTTTTCCAATTTTTTATTATGAGTTTGCTCAGAATTCGTCTCTGAAAGAGTCTTGTAACTATTTGTGCCCAACAGCTGACTTAAAGCTAAGAATACGAAAAACATATGTATATACAATAAAAACTAGTTTGGTTAGTCCTTAAAATTCACAAAATTTCACAAATGCAAGCGTCCGCTTGTTAAACCGGTCCCTGCTGACGCACAGACACACACACACACACCAACAACAATCCAAGTTACGAAAGTAAATTGTTGGAGTGAGTGGCGCGTGGGGCAAGCAGAAACTTCAAACTGGTCGCCTCTTGAGACGTTTGACTTCTGCCCATGGACAAACCTCAGACACTAAAGCAAGTCTGTCCGGATTTCGAATGCCCCCCGCTGTTACGCTGCTCTCACGAGTCTTTGTAACGGTCGCCACTAACTCGGCGCGCTGCTGTGGGGCAGCTGTGCAAAAAATGGGGAACAAACGAATAAACAACTGTGTAGGTTTGCTGTAGGAAGCGACAGGCAAACGGAAGGGAGAGCGGCACTCAGCAGCGATCCTTTTTTGCGGCGTTTATTGCTGTTCGCTCCACAAGTCGCCGAGTTTGTTACTCGCGCGTGAGTTGGCAGTAAATTTTCGTGTTTTTGGTTATATTTACGTCATTTCCGTTTAGCGTTTCCTTTAAGGCGCGGAAGCCGAGTGTACGCAGCGAGTAGTTGGGGTGGCAGTATACAGTGTGAATATATATCTTTATTTCAAAACAATAAAATTACATTTTTGAAAATGTGATTGTTGTATAAATGTTTTGCTTTTAATTTGTATACTTTTTTTCATCATTTTAATTAATTTATTGGAGGTGTTGTGGCTTGCCATTGCCGTCGGCGGCTTCGTTAGCGCGCCGTTTGTAGTTTGTATGGCCATGTTTGTCCAGAGCATGCTTTTTCTTGCAAATTACTTGCCTCTAGTTTCCAAAATTTCCACAAAAGCAAAAAAATCTTAATTTAATATTTCCCCCACAATTTTCTCCATCCATCCGGTTACTTATTTACATTCGTAATTTTTTCGTAATATTCACTTTTGGTAATTTTCTCGTACCCTGATTGCCATCTGCAAGTTGCACGGTTTTGTTTTATGATTTTTATTTTCCACTCGCGTTTTTCTTCGTTTTTTTTTTGCTGACGTTTCATTTCCATTTGAATTTTTGCTGTCTCAGTAAAACACGCATTTCCGTTTCCGTTTTGGCAACTTATGTTTTTTGATTATAAACACTTGCTATCTAAGGATTTGGCTAGCTCCGATTGCTGGGTATAAATATATATCTATTATATTTGAAATTATATATACTTGTATATTTATATTCCATACACATACTTGGGGAATTTAGCAGCAGCGGCGGCTGGCCACATCCTGCGTCGCCAAGACAGAAAAGCATACAGTGAATTGCTAGAGGCGAGAAAAAACTAGTTTAAACTATAATTTATGACTTTGCAAAACAAAAAGGTTTGAAAAAATATTTTGTTAAAAAAATTTAGTAAGGAAAATTTAAAATTTTTTCATAAAATATATTAAAAATTTTAATTGAAAATATAGTTAAAAAATTAAAATAAAGATATATTGATTATCAAAAAAAGTATAAAATAAATGGAATATTTTAATAAAAAAGAGGTTAACAAATTTAGTAAAGAAAATTTAAAATTCTGTCATTTATATATTTAAAAAAAAAATTTTTAAGTTCGTTGAAAACTTTCAAAAAATAATATCGTAAAATTTGCAAAATTTTTGTCGAAAGTATTAGATTTTTTTTAAAGAAAAGTAAAATAAGTTAAGCATTAAATAATTTATTCTAGGTTAAAACTGGAAACCAAATTTAATGTATTTCCTGAGTTACAAAAGAAAAAAATTATGAAATGAAACAAATTTGTTTACAAAAAAATGTTTTCAATAATAAAAGTAAATAATAAAATTTATAAAAACTAATTTTCAAGATGACAAAAAACAGTTTTGAAACTCTTTTTACAAATTTAAATGTGTTATATTAAAAATATCTTTTAATGCAGGGTTGAAAAATCATATTTTTCGCACATTACAAGTACATCTAAACCATTTTTAAAAGAAATAAAAAAACTGAATTTAGTAACTAAAAATTATATATTTTTGTCTTGTTGGCGAATTATAGATTTTTTTTAATGAAATAAAATTTTATTTAGATTTAAAAAAATTTTGTTTATTTTTTTAAATACTTTTATTATTTTATAAAAAAAAAAAAATTTAAATAAATAATTTGTTTAGTTTGTAATCAAAAATAAAGTTAGAAAACAACAACCAAAAAAAAAAACTAAACAGCCATAGCTACACATCTTTAGGAATTTGGTTAGAAAAACTTCAAATAAATATTTTAAAAATCCAAATTAACTTCAAATTACTTCAGCGAAAAATAATAAAACTAAAATATATATATAAAGAAATATTTTAAAAACTTGCTGTTAGCATTCTTAAATAATTTGCTCTAGAAAGTGATTTCTTATTAATATTATTCAACTTTGTTTTGGAAAACTGAAATCTTTCTTAGAGGTTCTTGATTAAGAGTCTGTTTTTATTCATACACTTTTTATATAAATTAAAATCATTTTGCAATTAAACAGTTAAAAAATAGTTTGAAGAATTTTTTAAAGAAGATAAATTTGAATTTATAAAATTTGCATGACAAAAATAAATATGTACCTCTAAAAAAGAAACTCGAAGAATTTTATATATTACAGCATAGTTTTCGTAAAACTTGTAACTTTTTTAAATATAATATTAAAAATTAGTAAATTATATTTTTTTAAGTTGAGAAAAATAATTTCCAAATTACTCTTTGTTAAAAATTAAACTAAAAAAATAAAATTTTTTTCTTAGTGAAAAAATAATTAGAAATTATATTTTTCTCATAGATAAAATATATATTAATTTTCAATTTTAGTGCAAAACAACATAAAAAAATAATATTAAAATAAATAATTTTAAATTATTTTTATTGAAATAGAATTTTCAGCGCGCAACACAAAATAAAAAAAAGCAAATAAAAAATATTTTTAAATCATTTTCCATTAAATTAAAGTTTCACCGCGCAACGAAAGAACATATGTATGTAACCAATTTTCTTCTCCCCCATATAAATTTATTTTTATTTTTTTTCTCCTTTTATACTTGCTACAATGGTATCCACGCACTTGTAGTTGCTGTTGCCAGTGTCTTGCCGCCTTAAAGCCTCCAATCAAATTGCCAAGTTGGTGCACCAGCTTCAAGCTAATCGTTTGACAAATTTCAACATTTTCTGGCAAATTGAAAAAACATGTTTCTGCACATTTTATTGCTTTTCGCTGTGTTTTTCTGCTGCTTTAGTTGTTGTTGGCTGCTAAATTTTCCCCCTACGACATTT